ACATCCCCGGTTGAAAAGCTTTTTAGCACCTGAAAATGTTCCCTCGTCAGTCTAGATAAATGATTATCATTCTTTGTCATTTCTAGCATCAAAGATATTAATGTAACAATATTTCGAAATATCTGTTGAATCAAATTTTTTGTTGTATCTCTTGTCATTCAAATATGTAAACGAAAGATTTTTCTAATCGTATCGGACATTATTTTCTTATTTAATCGAAATTTATTTCGAGTTAAAAAAAAATAGGCACTATTTTCATCACAGAGTCACTGATACAAATAAACATAGTTGTTTATCTTTTATTCATCATCACTACCATCATCAGAATCAAAACCTTCGTCATTAAATGCATTGTTAACAGTACCATCACCATCTATACTTGAGCAACAAGTAATAGCATAATTTAAACGCTCATACATAATATCAGTCGTTGAATAAGCGGGTAAATCAAGAGTAAAAAAACATGTATGTGATCCTAAAATAAAGTAAACAAATTCAATAGACTTCAATGAAAATTTGCATATTTCTATAAACAAATAAAATCATGGTCATTTTTTGAAATAACTATTGCTCAAGAGCTGATATTTCTAAAATATCGATTTTTTTTACATCGTTTGAAACCAACAACCAACATCATCAAATAGATTCAGTATAGTCAAATGCTTACTTCTCAGACCAATTTTTCTAATTAAACTTCAATGAATATACTTACGTGGAAGTGCTTGATCGACTTCACCTTGATAAACATCATACGAGGTAATAAGAAATTTCGATTGAAAATCTTCATCTCGAATAGGTAATGTACTTCTACCCCAAACGAATATTAAAAATAAATTCTTTTGATCATTATTAAACATTTCATTAAGAACAATCCAAAAACGTTCAATCGGTGGTGAATTTTTATTATAATCACCACCATATAAAGTATTTCGTTTTAAAAGTTCTATATCAATTTGATCTTTTCCACATATAGCTTCTTCAAGTTCTTTAGCAGTAAATAAATTTAAATAATAATATGGAATAATACTATATAAACCTTGTTGAATATAATTAATTTGTCGATTAAATTCATTAAGACGATATTGTCGATAACAAGAACAATAATATTTAAAATTTTCAATTGTAATTGATATATTTGAACCATTAGGAATAAGTTCATAGGTTTCTCCAGATGAACTAACAACATCAAATCGTAATTCACTCATAATACTACTAAATAAAGAATTAATATCATTATCATTATCAGTTAATTTAATTTGTTCAATAT